CCCACCCCAGCCCACCCCAACCCACCCCATCCCCTACTAACCCAAACCCTTAACCCTTTCGCCATACCCCACCCCCACCCCGGAGTCGACCAACCCCTTGTCGTCCACCCGTCGTCCCGTCACCGCCACCCCCAACACCGATCGAGCCCTTCTCCATCGCTCCCGCTCTCCACCCATCGGCCTTTTTTCCCCCAACCCCGCCCAAATAAAACGGCCCGTAAGCTCGGGCGATTGATAATCGGGGAGTGAAAACGGCCGGCGTTTGTTGCAGGAGGCCGAGGTCGACGTGGCTGCGGCGATGATCGTCAACGACTCGACCGAGTGCCCCCTTTGCACCTTGGGGCCCCCGCCGGACATGATTTTGCGACTCCCGCCCCCGCCAGCCCCGGCCTTCCTCGTACACTCGACCGAGTTCTACCCCAGCGACGGGCTGCCCTTCGTCGAGCACTTCAACAGCAGTCCCTGCAAGCACTCGTGCGAGTGGCGCGGCAAGGGGGTGCAGTACGTCGAGATGCCCCAGCAAGGTGATGCGCCCCAGCAAGTCTTCGTGGATCTCTCGCTTTTACTTTTATCTTTCCAGCCTGTTGTAGCCGCCTCCCCCATCACCGTCGCCTTCGCCATCCTCATTCCATCACCAATTCACCGACGCCGACGCCCTCCATCTCTCTCTCACACACACACACACACACACTCCCACTCTCTCTCTCTCTCTCACTCTCTCTCACTCTATCAGTCGGTTGGTCGCTCAGTTACTCTTCATGCTTATCCATTTGCCTGTCGTGCCACGTGTCTGCATTATGTCTCTCGGCGATAAGCCCGTATTATGAGCCACGGATTTTCATTTCACTCCTCTCTCCCTACATTTCCACTCAAGTCTAGTCTACATTTATTTTTCAAGTTTAATTATATACAAAGTGCCTTCCCAGGCTTATCAAATAAACATTATTTCTCTCCCTCGCTCTCTACGCTACTCTACTCTATTCTACTCTGTCTCTCTCTCTCTCTCTCTCTCTCTCTCTCTCTCTCTATGTCTGTCTCGCTTCCTCTGTAAGAATATATCATCATAATGTTCATGAATATTAAAAATTGGTCATTTTCGATTTGATACCAGTGAAAGAAATTATTAGTAACATGTTTTAACTTTCGTATTAGACTGATGATTTCATCACTTTCAAAGCTTAGATCATTTCACCTTAGCTTGGACATTTTAATTTTTAATGCAATTGCTAATACAATCATTATTTTATTTATCAATATCTTCCGATTAATTCAGCCATTACATTTATCGTTTTTCAATTAATCTTATTATTTATTTGGGCGCTATTAATTTTTTAGGTCTAATGTATATTGAACACTAATATATAAAAATTTTCAAACATAATTCAAACATAATCAAGACTTTATACAATTATTTCTCTGTGACTATTATTTTAATTTATACACGCGTTTCATATTAATTTAAAAAGCAGAAATAAATTCATATGTATTTGTACGTAATTTTTCGTCGCGCATAATTATTCAACTTGGGGATTTAATATTAAGACTGTGTAATACTGCTTATGAAATTTATTATTTATGATAAGCGGAATGGGGAGATGTTAAATTATTTTGCAAATTAAATACATTGTAATGCTTTTCTTTTATTTAGGGACATTTTTCGACGGCACGTGGCTCCTTGTACTGATATCATCGTGTATTGGTATTATCTTCATTGGGATCGTGTTAGCGACATTACTAATAAAGTGCAAACTGTAAGTACACTGCTATTATATTGCTTTGCCCTTTTATCAATGTCCATTTACGCACACGCGCGCATATATATATGTATGTATCCACACACGTACACATACATACACACGCACACGCACGCATATATACATATACATATATATATATATATATATATATATATATAT